CCCTCTCAGGTAATAGGTATTCCAGTTTACCACCTAGGTTCAAAACAAAATGAATCTTCATATGTTCTAAATGAAATCATGTACAACCACCATCTTTATCTATGCTTGTTATAACTTTCAAACACAAAGCTTCAATTTAAGCTCGGTTAAAAAAAAAAAAAAAACAGGAATGATGGTGACCTTAATATGTCGTGTGTACCTTACAGGACATTTTGTTAACAATCATAACACAGTAATAATGCCATTAATAGTGAAGTCCTCAATTTAGAATCTGGAACATTCTTCCATCAAAGGGGGGAGGGGGCAATTCAGTCCAATGAGTGTCTCAAGATCTTCATCGCTTGTTTGCTCCACTTGTGTTCTCTTTTCAGTAACTGGATTAATGCTTTGAGCCCAAAATGAGATATATTTTTTATTACTGTAGATTACATGTTGTTTGGCTGGGAATACAATACAATAAACTTTATTTTGCATAATGCATTTCACACAAGTTGCATCTGAAATGCTTTACAGAGCAAAACTGTCCAAGTACAAAGTTTTGTAATAACAGGAGAAGGAAAGAAAACACAAATATTAGAATTTGAGAAAGTTACATTGGAGGACATTCAAAAGAAACTGAAATACATAGAGATATCTTTGAGATACTGAAGAAGGGTTGGGCTAGACTTTACTAAGCAACAACTAATTTATATCTTAATTTGGGGAGCACAATAAAGCTAAATCAACAAACAGTCCAACAATTTTTCAGTAAAGAGAGAAAAGGATAGGTAACAAAACTAGTATTTACAGACGTGGTCCAAGTCTAACATTGCGGGGAGGAGCACAGCTGAGCTAAAGCTAAAGATCAATTTCTTCATTACTCCCTCAAGCAGCTAAGACTGCTTAAATATCCTCCAAACTAAGAAAGTAAAGTCAAATGTTGTTACTTATAAAGATGGTCAGCTTATGGATGCATTATAAAAAGCAAAACAAAATGGTTCAAAAAGTTCACTTTCACTCTTCACCACTGTCTTAGTGATCTACAGTATGTTTTCAGAATTATCTCACTAACAAAAAAACCCCACAAAATTTAGTCAGAGTATGATACTTCACAAGCAAGAAGTATTTCAGAGAAAGAACTCAGAAGTGACAGTCTAAGAGTCTAAAGCTAAACTAGGTAAACATAATAAAGACATGAAGTCTTATCACTGCAATCAGTTTTCCATGTACTGATAAAATTTTATACAATAAAGGGGGCAAGAAATCCCCCTTGGTAAATATATAGTTTCCAAGTACCAACTTAACGGAAAGCAGACTCAAAACTCAATTCATATTGCACACATCAAATGCAAACCCTGTCGGCCTTTGGATTTACTTTCATTGGCTTCCTGGGTTTTTAAGTGTGCTTTTTAAATTTTTGTTGGTCTCTATGGGAGGCCTGCTGGTTGTATGACAAGATTATTTCCTGCATTCTTTCTCCACCAATATATTTTCACCGGTCTTTCTGTATTTAATACATTACACAAACAAACAGCAGAAGATGAGTACATTTTCTGTAAAGCACTAGCAGTAAAAACCTAACTGCACTTTGAGTTTAAATTACAAAATACTTTGCAGGATGACTGCCTCAATGAATTCCATCCTATGAGAAAATAATGTGTGAAGATTTTTCTACCATGGGAAAAGTTACTTCAAAAGCTTCATGAAGTCAGAAGAATGAAAGTCTATTCAAAAACTTTCATGCTAGCCTTAAAAAACAAGTTAAGATTTAGAATGAAAAAGAATACTTACTGCTCAGTTTCCATTGGTTCCTCTTGCTTTCGTCTCCGCTCTGCGGCTTCTTTCTCGTGTTGACCTTTCAGCATGTTCCTCCTGTGAGCAGTCTGGAAGGTTCTTCCACCCTTTCTCTTCTGTTTATTTAAGAATTAGAATGCATTTAGTTGACTAGAGAGCCAGTCATTAGTGACTAATTATATTCTTGGCAAAATAAAGCAACTAACTTCAAGTGCTTAAATTAGTAATTTAAAAAAACAAAGCCCCAACTTTACTCTGCAATGTAACATTTTTCTTTGATTGCTGACATAATCCTACTTCTTACCCTCCTGTAGGAGTGATGCCTTAGACCAAAAAGAAGTATGCAAGGCTATTTGCCTCTACACAGTGATTTTTAACTTGAACACTGAGAAGCTAGTCAACCTCTTCAATTTAGGTTTTTGGTTTCTAAAAGATTGAGAAAGAAATCACATACAAAATAAAATGTGACCCAGAGATCTATACACCTCGTGCTGTAACACAAAATTTGTATTTTTCTACACAAAATGATAGTTAATAAAACTGTAATACGTAAACATCAAAACACCATAGGAGTGAAGATAAAAATTTACTGGAAACAAGGGTTGGAGAAGTGGTTCGGGGGTTAAGAGCATTCACTGGCTGCTGCTTTTGCAGGAGTTGGGTTTGGTTCCCAGCATCCACATGGTGGCTAACAACTGTCAGTAACTCCAATTCCAGGGGGTCCAACATCCATCCTCTTCTAGCCTCCGTGGGCACTACACACATGTGGTGCACTTAAATACATGCAAACAAAATACTCATACACACAAAATAATAATAAATAAAAGCTAATTGTGGTAGCACATGCCTTTAATCACCAGGCACTTTGGAGGCAAGAGGCAGGTGGCTCTCTATGAGACTATGGACTCTCTGAGTCCAGCCTGAACTACATAGTGAGTTTTGGGCCAACAGGAAGACCCTGCTTCATTCATAAATAAATAACTTGAACAAATAAAAATCTGTATATAAAATGTATCTCATTTACCTCTGTCCTTGCTTTATCTACAACTGGGCTAATAGAATTATTTAATTTCCACAAAATAATTGAGAAGTCAAATTTATGACATAAATGGTTTCCAAATAAGCCTTTTATCATAATTAATATGAGTCTATTCTGAGAGGTAAAGAAGTACAGATTAACTTTCACAAAAATATTAAAAGTGTAGTACATAAAGATTAAGAACTATCTCAAGTACCTAAGAAGCTTAAATTTGGGAAGATAGCTCAGTGGATAAAATGTTTGCTGTGTAAGCAATGAGGACCCGAGTTCACATCCACAGTACCCATGTGAAAAAGCTGAGCATGGTTGCATGCAGATAACACCAGTCTTGTGGTGGGAGCAGACAGGTGGATCTCAGGGGCTTGTTGTCCAGTTAATTGAAACTGCAAGCTCCAGATTTAATGAGACCCGGTCTCATTTGGTGGAGAGACTGAGGAAATTAGCTCAGCATAGAAGTACCTGCCATATAAGCAGGGGGACCCAAGTTTGGATTCCCAGAACCCACAAAAATGCCAGGTGAGTGTAATTATAGCTGGGTAAGGCAAAGACAGCTCACCTCCAGAGCAAGCTGGCTAACAAGACTAGCCCTCTCAGGGAGCTCTGAGTTTGCTTTAGAGACCCTGCCTCAAAGAATAAGGTGGAGAGCAATTGAAGATTCTCTGTATCAATTTTGGGCCTCTATACACATGTGTCATGCCAACGCATGCACACCACACACATACACAGGAAAAAAAAGGATAGGAGATCAATAAAGGAAGACACCTGATGCTGACTTCTGACCTAGCTCTCATATACTCCAATATACCATACATATGCACAAATGGAAACATTTTTTTCTACCTTTTCACCTTCTTGATCATCTCCTTCTTCTTCAGAATCAGAGGCTGATGTAACCCCTGGTTTCGCTAAATTTTTCCGTTTTGATTCAACTTCTTTCTTTGTCTCTTTCTTATCTGGTTCTTTTCTTGGCTTATCCTCTTCCTTTTGGCCTTCTTCATCCTTTTTAAGCTGCTTTTTAGGTTGTTTTTCCTCTGGCCCCTTTTTCTTACTTTTGTCTTCGTCAGAAACCCTATGTTAAAATGCAACAATAGAAAAAGAGGTTTTATATATTCACTTATAGTCTTTTCCTTAAAAAAGGATTTTTATCCATATGTATGTCTCTGTGTGTCTGCCATGTGTGTACAGTCCACAGGAGCCAAAAGAGGTTTTGGATCCCCATGGAGCTGGAGATATAGCTGGTTATGAGTCACCCAACACTGCAAGGAAGCAGACTTAGGTCCTCTGGAAGAGCAGTAAGCACTCTAACCACTGAGCAATGTCTCAATCTCCCATAGCTATACTATTCCAGGTTCCAAAGTATTTCAGGACAAAAACTGTAACTAGAGCAATATTCCTATGTAAAAGGAAATCTAAAACATCTTGTAAACAATGAATAAAAGATAGTGTGATGTGTTACAAGAATCACTCTTCTGACCTTCGTAGCAATGCATGACATGGGTGCACTAACACACATGTAAGTAATACACTCATACACATAAAATAAAAAAATTTTCATATTAAAAAAAAAAATCAGGTCAGCAGAATCTGATTTCTCCCCATTTTCAAAATTGCTTTTAATATGATTTGTTTGTTAAAAAAATACTAATTGAGTTGTGATTTGGTGCTGGGACTAAACTTGGGGCCTTTGCTTCCCATGTTAAGCGCATGTTCTACCACTGAGCTATATATGCCCAGACCCATTTAATGGAATTATATTCTACATATTTATAAGACATCTGTCTAAAAAATAGACACAGTAGAAATAGAATCACATAACTGAAGTTTAAATATAGTCATTTGTGAAATATATGACCAGTTACTTTAAGCAAAATATAGACACATCTGAAGTCTCACAGACTGTAAACAAATTCTTGACAAGAAAGATTTATTACTAAGAACCTTTAAAATCTATTTTCTTTACAATTTTCAAGTATGCCATAGTGGCCCATTTCTACTATTAGTACTATTTCTACTTTTTTCTTTTTGTTTTTCTTTAAAGAGAACAGGTTTTACTGTGTTGCCCAGCATTGGTCTAATCACCTAGGCTTAATGAACCCTCCTGCCATAGCCAAATGAACTTGTTAGAAACGTGTGTGTGCGTGTATATTCATCACTGTCCAGTTTTTTGGAGAGTACTTTAACAGCTAGTTCAGAAACAAAATACAGCTCTTTAAATTATATTTTGGTTTGGAAAGTACCAACACTCCAATAGTGTTCTGTATTTAATGTTCTTTAAAAATAATCAGTTCAGGGTCTGGAGAGATGGCTCAGCAGTTAAGAGGGCTTGCTGCTCTTTCAGAGGACTAGAGTTCCATTCCCAGCACCACTGTCAGGTGGTTCCAACTCCATGGAATCTGACATCCTCTTTTGGCCTTTGAGAGTACCCACACGCACACAAACATACACACATACACACCATTTAAAAATCAGTTCATTCAAGTTCTGACTATCAGTTATTAACATACCTCTCTTGAGCCTTCCCTACAAAATATTTAAACTCAAGAATCACACAATGTCTTTCCTTCTTTTTTCTAAAGATTATATCCCTCCCTTCTGAAGTTTCTACAGAAAGGCCAAGTAAACAGGATACACAGATGGCAAGAAAAAAAGAAACCACTTTTTCTTTGGCAACTAAGTAGTTATCATTCTAAAAAGCTTAAACATGTTAATTGCAAAAACAATTTTGCACTATTTTAAATTAAAGCACCTATTAAGCAAAACATAAAAATTTGTGTGAACATTACTTCCCCTAATTTCTTCAGTAAAGTTTGTGTTCATATACCAAGAAAAAAAAATCTCAATTTAAATGAATAACCAGGTTTTCATTCCTATCCAATTTTTATTTTTACAGAACTTCTCCAGTTTCCTCCATAATTTCTAAAGTAGCAAAAATAGTAATAAGCAACCAATACCAAACAAGAGAAGATTAACTAAAAACACAATAAAATATCCATTTAACAAAAATTAACAAAAATAATTATCCAGTTATTTGTGTAGGCAGAAGTCTCAATAACTGTTGTATTTTCAAAATAAACTCACATGTCACTCTCTGAAGGACAGGGCTGTTTTACCATTTTAGGTCTGCCTCTTGGTTTTGGAATCTTGACTTCAGTAGCTAATTTTCATATAGAAAGAAAATAGTTTTTTTAAAACACAAAGCTCATAAACATTACAAATAATATATAAAAGTAGCACCTCCCCAAGGATCAAATAAGCAACAGCAAAAATTCAAAGATCAACAGAAGAAATTTCCATTTGTCCTTATTTTGAGGGCTTAAAACAGAACTTTTCATCACTTTTATTTAGCACTAATATCAAAGAATAACTTACAAACTATCCCTTAAATTCAGCACTCACATGTCACATTTTATGTACACTTTGTACATCTTTGGAAATTTGTATCAGAACTCAACCACCACCTTACCCCCAGCAATTGATCCATTACAACAATATTCTATTTTTTCCCCCAATCTGGCTATTTACCTTAACAAATTTCAGTAGGAATCCTACTATGATGTAGGAAAATGATGTAGGCTCTATTTTGATTTTCAGTGTTTTACTCTGCATTAGGAAGACCCTCAAGATAGTTCCAACTTGCCAGATTAGTAATAAGCATGCTATAAATATCTTAACAGAACACAGTAATTTAAAAGTGAAAAGTGAGCCCATTATATATGGTAGTTTGAATCTCACTAGACTCATTTGCCATTATTTGGAAAAAATTTAATAGGGAAAAAACAAAGTGAAGGAGAATTATTTCAACAATAGTTGTCACAGAACAGAAACCACTTTTCTCTCCTTTAAAACTGTTATTTTTGAAATCTACCCAAAGACTTTATTTCTAGACATACACAGGCACCAAGGATCCAAGTGCAAATGATTATGACTAGTAATAATCAGATACATACAGATTAGAGATGCATGCGCCAACATCTCAGTGTTAGTAGCAAAAACAATGAGTCTTTCTGTAAGAAACAGTATATTTTAGAATGAAATAGAGATCTCTTTTGAGGGTTAAAAACTCATTCAATTTTATGTCTTATAGGGCTTATACTGAATTCAATATTGTATAACTGTATTAATTCAACTGTGAACCTAGAAACTTGCAGCCACTTGTGAAAGA